TTTTAAGCACTTTTTTCCAACTTAGAGGTACTTGTGAATAATCCATTGCACCCTCGCTTTAACTTTTAGTGAAGTGATTAAATCTTTTACAAAAAGTTACTTGAAATATGTTTGAAAACCTCCAATTTAACCTGCCACCAAACTCCAGCTCCAGCTCCTCCCTGACTGGAAGATTGCTGCTGGGACTGTGACATATACTCCAAATATAGAAGTGTGGGTGAAGAAGAACACAGGGAGGAGATGTTTCTACAATGAGGCCACGCCTTTACTCACAAAGGCTTTAAAGTTTTGTGAAAACATGCAGTACATTACTGCATATCACTGATTCCACTTTTATGACTCAAAATGTGAGACACCAAACAACCACAATGTCAAGATTATGGATACTGCAGACAGCAAATCACCTGAACCTCAACAGGAAGTACAGTCAGCGCTGAGCCTACTTTGGCAAAGCCTAATCATTAAGTGTTCCTAGTACAGTCAAACCTGTCAGTTGGACTTCTAAGTACTTGCAGTTGTCTACCACCTCAATATTGTTGGAAGGAGACCGGGGAAGCCCACCACCAACTCCTTTGTATTAATGACGCTGAGCCTCAGCTGGTTCAGCCCACATCCCTCAACAAACCTGTTCACTGCACCTCTGTATTCCACCTCTTGGTTCCTGCCACTAGACACTACAAACACTGAGAAAACACTGTGTGTTGTGTATGAAATTGGAAGTGTGAATAGGAACGTCTCATAAATAGTGTTTGTTTTCTCATTTTGCAAACCTTGCTATTTGTTTGATTCTGTGAAAAAGGGAAAGTAAGTTTACTTTATATTTTAGCCTTAAATTTTAGAACTCTGAAGTTTTTCTCAGAACTCAGATTTTTATCTGAATAATCAAGAGTTTGTCACATAGTGTTTCAGTCAGAGTAGATTACAGTTCAGTGTGGCATCTAAAACACTGCATATTTATGGAGGTGTGTAGTCATAACAGATAAAAGCAAAGAGGAACTTTTAAAGGCGTCTGTGATCTTTTGTATTTGTGCCAGAGGGTGTCTAAAAGTCTCAAAGTAATAACCCAGTCCAGCTTGTGGACATGCTCCATCACCAGCAGGGCCTCATGAAAAATGAATCACCTTAGAGGGAGCGAGGGTCCCTGGATGATGAACTCATTGTAGATAAGTGCATACTAAAAGATTTATACAACCATTCATGCACAGTTTAAAAATGGCATATATTTGTGGGCTCTTAAATGAAGAATGATTATAGCTCTTATTTTAATATTTGCACAGATCTACCCAGCCGTCCAGGTCAAACTGGCCCATATTAGACTGAGGACCGAAAACCAACCACAGAGGAACCGCTATCATTTATTTTCATAACGTTCAAATAATTGAAATATAGGCTATATTTTTTGTATGAAACTCTCAAGCCAAAGCCTTTTGGGGGCCCTGGCGGTTAATATGAACTAAAAAAAAAAAAAAAAGATTTTAAAAACAGGCTGTAGAAAACAATGCATTTTTCTGCTGAGTTTTGGTGGCAGAGATCCCTGGAAGAGAAATGTACCTGTACAAAGAGTCCACGAGCACTTGAAACTAATTAGTCACACAAAGTGTTGTGTAAAGGTTGACAAAACAAACAAAAACAAAAAACTTGGCGTTGTGGCCTCCTTCTGGCTGCATCCTCCTGTCTCTCTGACTTCTCTCCAAGAATCCAACATCTTTTGTGTGTCTTTGCAGTCTTGACATGATGAATTGTACAGATGGAGATAATAGTGCACACATTTATCACACAGTATCTCCTTGATGGGTTTTCATGCTGTTGCACTGAATTGGAGATGCACAGTGTGATGGAGTAGCTGTTTGAAGAATGGGAAGTTCAAATCCTGCATAATCGCACACCTCTCCTCACAGCAGGCTACCTGCCCAGCACCAAATGGCAGCTGGTTTATCAGTACTTTTTCACTGTATGCTGGGGGCATATTAATATAAAAATATCCAGGAACACAGCTGTGAACTACCAAACAGCTAACAAACAGCCAGTAGCATTGGAGAAACATTTATATGGAGTGATGTTTCTTATCACCTTACTAATGTAAGTCTAATATTCACTCTCTTTTAGTTCAGTCTTTGGTCTCCACAGAATCTGTCTCTTTACCTGGTAAATCACCCGCTAGCTAGTTAGCTGTTTGTCTGCCATTTGCTGAGCAGGTAGAAGGTTTTTAGAGCTTTTTCACTTAAAACCGCTGCAGCTGGGAACCTGGCTGAACCAAGCAGTAAAACTGTGGGCTGTAAAAGAAATCACTGAGCTTAAAGATGCTAAAACACAAAGTTAAATGATAAATCTTTGTGCGCTTGCCACTGTGAGTGACAGTTTTCACATATTTAACCCAGTGGGTTTAAATATTCTTATGGATCTGTACAATGGTTTGTTGACTCACCAAAAACCCCAAACAAACCAGAAACCATGACTGTAGAGTGTGTGTCTGCCTGTTACTGAGCCACAATTTTCTCCTCCAGTGCCTGGGAAATCTGACTGCAGCTTTGTGTTAATCAGTATTATTAACTACGATGAGAAATGTTTGTTGGCCTGAATGCCAAATATACATTGATATACACACTGCTGTCCACTCAGTGTTTGTGTGTGTGGGCGGTGGGCGGGGGACGGGGGTTATTATGCATCTCCATATTAAGGAGCTGTATTTTTAAACCTGAAGGCCATCTCCAGGCACAAGCAATCCTCTTGATATTCCTTCCATGCACACAACACAGCACTCACTGCAAGTCTGTGTCAGCAGAATTTCTAATGAATTGCACAAAAGCCAGTTTACCATACATGCACTCATACACAAATACATACACATAGACTGACACACACAAACCTTCCTTTTGTGCACAACAGAACTGGCTTTTGGAAAGAATGAATGAGGCTTTTGCACATGCAGAGAGGAAATATCTTCCACAAATTGATTTTCCTTTTTTCTTAATGATTACCCAGTCACCAACCATTAGTGTGTGACAAAGTGTGTGCTTTTATTGTCAGGATTTTTATATTTCTGCATTCTAAATGCATACACATAAATACTTGTTTGAGAGGGGTTGAATGAACTCAGTATCTGGGGTGTCTTCTCTTAATTGGTTGCACAATTTTGTCAGTAATGGATTCACATTGTCAACATGCCATACAGTTCACATATCCAACTTCTAATGCAGCTACTAGGCTACATTCCTACATGTGTCAGCATCAACACGAATACTATATCACTCCTAACCATCACTGTGACCCAAGGCAGCATTGCATTATTACAGAAAAATGATCAATGAATAAACCAGAACTTCATTATAAAAAAAAGAATGGCAAATGACCTACTTTGTGCTACTACAAGTAAAGACTTTTTATGGCTGTTCCAAATGACCACAGTCAAAGAAAACTATGGGGAGAGATGCAATAATTCCCACACAACCCACTGTACGCTACCTGCCAATCACCAAACATCAGATGGACACAGTTAGTAACTAGCTGCTAAACATACTGGAACATTCAGTAGCTAAAGAACCAGGTATTTCCCTTAGGAGGTGCACACTTTCAGACAGTCTCTCCTTAGAGGCATTCATTGTGTTGCACTCGGCTGTAAGCCCAAAAAGTGATGGTAGTTATGAGAAGAATTAACACAGAAAGCTTCAGAGTCATACTCAAACCTGTCCTCTGCTCACCTGGACAGTCACTGTGTAAAATTGACTTACTATTCTCATTTTCTGTTTTGGGTGATGATCCTCCAAGTATGACATCACAAAGTTGTGGGCCACGAAGGTTTCAGATGGAGACTGGCCTCCTGTGAAAACACAAGTTCGTAGGTCACTGACAAGTCTGGTAAGTGTTCCACTGGACCAGCTCTGTTGGTCTTTGTCCAGTAGAAACAAGTGACATACATATTTATAGGACTTGTTGTCCAGTTATCATGTGAGGATTTTACAAGCACTTCATTTGAAGCATACTGATGCCTTGAATGTATGAATTGTGCTACCTTACAATATGTGTTACAGAAATTAATGCAGTATTCATTAACACACAGTATTTTAGCAGAAATGTAAAGTAAATAAATAAATACAAATGTTTATATACTGTAAATAAAAATACAGAATTGTTAACAATGTACATAGCTAGGTATAGATGTACAGAAATCTGTCTTCTGCAAATGTTTGTTTTGTCTCACAACTTCAATTCTCCTAATACGCCATGCCTGGCAGTCGTCTGCAGATACTATGTCCAGCAGCAATCTGTGACAAATTTGTTTCCAGGAACCAAAAGCAAGATACAAAAGCAGAGTAGGTACAATACGTTTTTCCTGAAATAAGCTCTGTCTGAAAAGAGGGCAGGCAGACAAGACTTATTTCTTACAGCTGCTTCGACTGCTTTTTTCAGTGTTGTTAATTTTATACCACTAAAAAAAGAAGTTTTTTTAGACCACTTCTTTTAAAGAAACAATGTGCATAGTTTTTTCATGTTTATTACACATCTCTTTTTTTTATCAGTATGAGCATTATGTAAAATCTGAGAATTAACACTTTACATATTAACAACAACTATACTTGTAACCATAAATTTGACCATAAAAGGATGAATTTCCACTGTTTCCAACTGAAAAGCATTAAATTCAGTCAGAAGGTTTATTTATACATATCGGATAAAACCTCAAATGTCTATAAACATTCTTTTCTTCACATCTTGTTCAGTGGCATAGTTTTATTGATCTTTTCTTCAGCTGGAGAATTATTTAATCACTAACAATTTAACTTTTCCACCCACCTCAAAGCACTAAGAGCATTATCAGAGCCCTATGTTACACACAAGTTCATATGAATAAAACCCACACCTTGCTCTGAAGTGATCACACCCACAGTTGCTGAACAATTCAGTTCCTAAGCAACTGATCTGCTCTATGTGGGGGATGTGTGTTCTCTGAGGGTCTGTGTGGGATGACTCCTGGCACTATACTTACCTACCACAATCCACAGACACACAGCTGAGGTGGAGAGAACCATTTAAATTACCCCCATGTGTAAATGTGGATGTTTGTAGGTGGCCTGATGAAATGGGTGCATAGCTGTGTGCAAAAAGCTCCAACCCTCTGTGACAACTATGAATGTGGACAAAAATAGTGAAATTCTGAACAATTGAACTTCTCTTTTTACTTTAACTTTTTATAGTTTGGGCCCTTGTACGTTATATTGTTACTTTTGTAGATGGTTGGTGTCAGTCTGTTCTGGGCCACCAGCCGATTTAGGACCTTGCTTGTTTCCTTCGACTCTTGGTGCCTCACTCTAGATTACATCTAGATTTTTGTCCTCCAGGAGACTCACCTCTTGTCTGTTCTGCATTTCTGCTAGTGGTTTCCTTCAGTTTGCTTTTTGGTGTGTATGTTGTTGTCAATCCTTTTCCCATGTCTCTGTGGTAGATAAGAGGTCTTATGGACCAGGTCATATGCACCTTGGCAGCACCTGGAAGTTCTATGTACTCAAACATACTGTACATATGATTTGTGATTTTTGGCTGCAAAAATAAAATCGGGTATACTCAACAATAAAAACCTTCAGTGGGGCTTTATTATAAGGTTTACCTTCAGTATGATACTACAGAACAGGTCCCGAATTGTTACGATTCATCCCTGTTAGAACACTGGTGGAGATATCAAGTGTGTCACCAGCATAATGTATATCCATGTCAGGGATATACCTCTTTGTCATCTTTGGAGTCCCTCTATGGACAAAATAATCATTACTTCAATAGTGTTATTGCTGTTGTTGCTCTCTATTTTGATTGTTCATTTCTTATTGTAACTTAGTTTATAAGGATTTCTTTTCTAAACCTCCAGTCATTTCTATTGACCTGGAAGTGGAGAAAGAGGTGGGCTGCATTTTTGTAACTGAACCACTGGCCATAAAAAATGATGGTGCACATCCCTGCCAACCATGGCAGTCTAGGGAATCCACTGCTCTTGACCAAAGAGCAGTATAGATATGGAGTGGACAACTATCACCATCCTCAGGCTGTGCTGCTATTGAGGCAAAGAAACAACAAACACCCACAATCTGGATTTTTTTGTCCTCTGACTGTCTTGTCCTCTTCCTTTTTAAATGGTCAGCGATGTACTGACATTCTCTGATTGTCCTGTTGTTGACTTCCTTCTTTTGTTGTTTTCAAGCCTGGAGGCTTTCCTTCCCAGTCCTCCCCCCTCTCTCCCCCCTTTTACCATCAATTATATTAACAGCAGCCTGAAGCTTCCACCTAGCATGTTGCTCCATTTTGTGACAGCAAACCTTTCTGCTGTTACTTTATGACACATTATTTCACTGCACTGGTAATAGAGCTTACTCTCTATTCTACTCCAGGTTTCACTCTGCAATCCAATTTCTCCATCTAACACTAGACGTTTTCTGGTGGCAATGAAATATTTTTATGACTGTGCTGATGTCATCACATTTCTGTTTGTCCCTCATTTCCCAGGGAGTGAATTATACAACACAATGGAAAAGGACGAATTTTCTGCAGTCAACTTCAGTCCAATTTGCCCTAACATGATTTGGCTTATGTCTCCAGCTATCTGCTGTATACCAGCACCCTTTATAAATTATGTTTCGAAGCTTTTTTCCTCACTTATGTTAATTATGTATTACCTGTAAGAAGCTAGTGGAGTTATGTGTCATGTCAAGATTACTCTTGATTGCCAAGGCTGATCAAGGGCCAAAAATAGCGCTTAAAACATTCCTACACTAAGTTTAAGTCATATTCAAGCCCCTATGAATTGTATAACTACACATCATGTGAATCCACTGCAGAGCCACAGCCTTAAATCATTCATTGATTTAAGTGAACATCTCAGCCAGAAATACATTGGACAGGCAGTACTTATGCATGCAGCCTTGGGCGCTGAGTTTCCTACAGGGATTGTGTGTTGCACTTTTCTGTGTGCCTGGACAGTGTGTTGAGGCAGCTCAGCTTGAGGTATTTCTGTGCATTTGAAATATATCAACCAATCTAATTTGTTGGGGGTTTTATCACTGTAAATCTATGCTTAAAGCAGGGTTATATCTTTTAAGTGCAGCTTAAAACAATACTCACATGCCCAGATGCACATTGAAATAGTTATTTAGTGCTTTAACCGTTTATCATGCATGGCCATGAAAAATCACCACCAAAAAATATATTCCATAGTAAGTGATGGGGCAAAATACAAGGTTCTCAATTTGTGTAAAAAAAATAATTACAAGGCTTCAGCAGTCTTGGTTAATTAAATCAATAATATAGACCTGTTTGGACAAGATTTGGATTTGCAGTGATTTACAACTCATTCTGCTATTATATGGGCACGTGGGTATTGTTTTAAGACAGACTTCAAAAACTGTGAATATAAGCTATCCTTTATATAATATCAAACATAATTCATCCCTAATACATTGTTCTTTTGATTAAGTTAGAGGATACTTACAAGATGCATTTGGAGGACTGTTGACTATTTACCAAATTTATATAACCTTTATTTAAAGGTGAACTAATCAACGGTTTTGTCCAATGACTATATACAGTACTATGGGCCTGTCATTATAATACAGGCTAAACACACACACATATAGCCACCCCAAAACATATCTCATACAGGATTTATACAGTATGAATCTATATTAAGACTAAGAAATCTTAATCTGTTAATCCTAATATAAATACATACTGTTTAAAGCCTGTATGAGATACAGTGTGTTTCAAATGTCATTTGTTTTTTGACTATATCTTTTTCTTCGCCTGTCTTTGCTCATGTGTAATACATGAATTTCCCACCCTCTTAGGATCAATAGTCTATTTTTATTGTCTCTTATCCAGTTTTGGTTGAGGTTTGTGGATATTTCTGAAATACTCCAAGGTTCGGCTGAGGCTTTTATTCTAGAGGGGTGTTGCTGCCGGCGGAAGTGGTGGATATATATATTGTACTATAGCTACCTTATGGCAATAGTCAAAGTTTTAATTGTCTCGGCAAATATTGAGGTTATGGCGACGTTTTTTGGTGAAGTTTTGACGGTGTATTCTCGGGCTGTGGAGGAAGACGATGAGAGCCTCGATGAAAACGAAGAAGATGAACAGATTCGCAGAGAACTAGAGGAAAAGAGGTAGATAACATTAGCCTGCTAGCATGGAAACACAGGAAGTAATAAGTCAGAAAGCGTGGATTACTGTGGATACTGTATAGCGGATAGATATTTCCAGAGAACTAAACACTTTTAACTACTTTTAGATGTAACGTTAAATTTGAATTCAGCGCTCATCCTCCCATTTCTAAAACCTTTTTGTACCACATGTCATGCCTTGATATCTGTCGGCTCTTGCTAGCTAACAACATGACACATGAAGTTTTAGTGAGAAATGGTAAAGTTAGCTAACGTTAGTTTAGTAACTTGGCCGTAATAACACGAACCAAGACTGTCATAAGATCATTTTCCGATTACTGAGAAATCGCGCGCGCGCGCTGTGTGTAGTCTATCCATATAACCTATAGGCTTATTTATGTGCGTGTGTATATACACTCCCTGTCCACTTTATTAAGTACACCTGTAGAATTGTATGCACTTCAGTGCAACACTTCCGTCTTCACATCTGTGTTTATGAAGCTCAAAATGTTTGTTTTTGGTGAAATTGTCATAAATGTATGAATTCAATTATATGTTTATCATTGAGGTCATAGTTAAACTGGACTACATTATACTTAGATGTGTTTCTAATATTCTGACTCTCTCATGTATGTATCTGGGTATAGTCCAGTACAACACCACCTTTAACTATGACCTCAATAATAAACATATACCCTCTGGGTATCTGCCCAGGTCTTGACTACAGCTGTGCATATTATATAATGATTTAACAAGTGCAATATTTCCTGCCAGAAATGTATGGAGAAATGTATGTACAATAGAGTATAAAATAGTAATACTCAAGTATAAATACTTCTAAATTGTTCAGGAGGTGGAATTCAGTAAAATATTAGTTATACAGTGTTTTCCAGAACTGAAAACTTGTAACTCTCCATTAGGGAGGTTCGTCTGCACTGGAGCCCTGAAGTCTCTGAGTCACTGAGGTCTGGAAACAAGTTGCAATGTTCAGACTTCGTCCTTGCTGTGGGACACAATGCTGCCAGTAAGTGGCTCCTGTATGCTACCTCACCTGTGATTTGTTCCTCTCAATATTATTACAGGTCAAAGGAAAATTTATAGATGAATTGATTATTAAAGAGTTGCCATTTGAAGTTCTTTTTATCAGATGATTGATAAATCTGTTCATTGTTTTAGCTCTAAATGATATCAGTTGCATTTTTCCACTGTCCACTCTGAGACTGAGTCTAGAATTTTAATGCAGACATGCCTATGTCATATACAGCAAACAGTAATTAATTCAAAGAAAGAATAATAATGTCTAAGAAGTAAACTATGAAAAGAAAAGAACTCCTGTGACATGGAAGCTCTTGCTGAATAACTGAGAGAAGATCTGTTTTCACAGGGTTTCTGTCAGTGTACGTTCTCACCTCTGCAAACTGGGACACAGTAGGGCATGCATCAGTTTGGAATGAGAGGAGCCGGCCTGTAACTGGGCAAGCAAGTGAGGAGTCGGCATGTGTTTTCTACAGGCACAAGGAGAACCCATCAGTGAGTACACACTGAGAAGCATAGCTGAGAACAGCACTTCACACTGTGTCTGCCGTTTCATTAATGGCACAGAAAGCACCGGATTGTTGTTTCCTCAATAATCAGTCAGTTTAATGAGGCTGCTCCTGATCACCCGATAACCCTAACTCTGCTAAATTAAGAGCACTTTATAGTGGTTGTGCCCAAGTCACTGTCAAGCTGCAAACATGTGACAGATTTAAGGAAAACCCTGAATAAATTGGTGGAGAAGTAAAATGAATGCAGGTACCTTCACTGACAACACAAATGAATTGTAGAAATGATAATTGTTTGTTTTTTATGACTGCATCAATCCAAAGATATTTTGATCTCAATTCTACTGTATCTTCATAAATGGTCACATTGTAACAGGTCATACAGTCTACAGCACTGTAGTGCATTTTAAGGATAATACACAAAACTCCACATCAGCTACAAAAGTCAGAAACTAGGCCATGAGATGCAGGATTAATGGGCCTGGGTACAGAGTTATAGCCAACCAGTTTTATGTATGCAGAGCGGTGCCTGGTTATTTTCAGCCTAGTGTCATATACATGTGATTTAATCAAGATAAACATAGTGAATGGCCGTGTATGACAGCGCTGTGCTGCTGACGGAGCTTCAGATTTATCACAGATTTCTGACTGACTGCCTTCTGTTGGCTGCAGGGATTTAATGAACTGGAAGAAAAGGCTTTCATACACTGTAATGTAGCTGTGGACAACCGATACTGCAACAGTCCCCCTTTAGTTTATAGATTATTGTTTCACTGAAAATCCTGTTACGATAACCATTACTTTTAATGCAGATTTAAATGCGGAGAGTGTGTTTTCTGGGTAGTTTTTGCTGTATTATTTTCTGTGGAAGGTAAGAGAAACTGGAAGAATGACATGCAATAAGCACTTATGTTCGGATAGAATACAGCTATTGATTTGATTATTCAATTAATCAATTGAAAGAAAATGTTCTGTGATACTGGGATGGGCATGATGATATAGAAAGTAAACATTATTGATTAATCATGAAAATAATCCACTGACTTATTAATTAGCAGCAGCCCTAGTATGGTATTTGTCTAACCCAACTCACTGCCCCCTGGCTGCAGAGTGTTTCATGAATAGTGTTTATTTATATATAGTTGTGCTGATTTTCCTCCGTGTATCACGTTTGCCTGTGTTTACAGTCTCCCCACTACCTGCAGAGTAACCTTTCTTAGTCTAGACGTAGTTCTTAAACATCAATCCTCAGCACAACCAGACCAATTTCTCCGGAAGCGCTTGCCTGTTTGTGTCTCTCCTACCTTAGTGTGATGTGCTACACATGAAGATGCATACAGTTATTTGAGCTGGTCAATCTCTGTCATGAAAATAGAGCTATGTCTGGGTTCTTCTTTTGTCATCCATCAGTGTATCAGTCCTTCCTGTATTTGAGTTACACTTGTAAGTTTCAGAACAGTGTCTTTAATCAACAAATGTAGCATAAAATATCTCTTGCATTTCTTTCCCTGAAGGTTTTGATATGCCAAGTGACTTGCTACATTGCAGAAGACCAGCTTTTTCAGTGGACAGAAAAGGTAGGTTTATAGAACTAAATCAGTTGGATGGCATTGTGATTAAACTTGGGTGTGGGAGGAATTTTGGGATGCTATGGTACTTTTGGCTGACCTCTAGGAAGCTCTGGCAAACTGTCTTGGCTTGGCTCAGGCTGTGTTTGGCAGGAGAGGAGAATTGCTGACTCGGGCTGGGGATATTGTGGCGGTGGAAGGAGCACTTTGAGGAACTCCTGAACCTGTCTGAGATGTGCTCCAAGGATGAGGCAGACTAAGGGGAAGCCTGAACCATGTCTCTGCCAGAGATCTCTGAGGTAGTCAAAAAGCTCCTCAGTGGCAAGGCGCCAGGAGTGGATGAGTCACTCTAAGCTGCTGAAGGCTCTGGACATGGTCGGACTGTCTTGGTTGACACGCCTCTTCAGTGTCGCATGGAGGATGGGGACAGTGCCTGAGCACCCTGTAGAGGGTGCTTCTGGAGTATGGGGTAGTGGGGTTGTTAATACGAGCCACCCGTTCCTTGTATAACCGGAATGAGAGTTGTATTTACCACATTCTTCAACATACAGATATTCTTCCGGGTGATCATCAAGGTCAAAGTTGTCTTGGTGTTTCTCTATCTTTTGCAGGTTTTTGACTGTCTGCAGCAGAGAGAACTGAATGTGACTGTGCTGTCAGAAAGCTCTGTGTCTGATTACAAGACGGTAGACTACCTGTGCAGTAGCTCTTCTCCCTTCATGCGCTCTCTCCACACTGGTACTTTCAGGGGTCAGCCTGCCTGCCAGTCGCTGGAGCAGCCAAACATTATTACTGGACTCCCAGCTGCAGGTACTACAATTTTACACTTAATCATTCAGGTGTCTCAACCTCACATTACCTGGCCAGGTCTTTCTCGCATTGCCTCCCACACCTGCAATCACATACAAAAACTATAGATGGATGAAACCTGCACAACTCAGCTTTCCCTCTCCTGTCCTTCATCTGTCCCACTGTGCTGCATGTTTAGTAGAATAATGCCTCTTGAGAGCTGAAGAACGGCAGCGTTCTTCTTGCAGATGAGATGAGACGCATTACACGGGGGGGCGCAATCAGGCGAAGGCGGGGTACACCCTGGACAGGTTGCCAATCCATCGCAGGGCTAACACATAGACGAACAACCACACACACACACACACACACACACTCACTCCTATGGGCAATTTAGAGACACCAATCAACCTAAGCTGCATGTCTTTGGACTGTGGGAGGAAGCCGGAGTACCCGGAGAGAACCCACGCAAGCACAGGGAGAACATGCAAACTCCACACAGAAAGGTCC